AATCCGGGATAATCCTCTCATTATATTTCATGACACTGAAAGATAATGATAAAAATATGTGCGTGCATACATATAAGTACAATGTCTGGAATGGTATACTAAAAGATACAGTACCACTGCATTTTAGAATTGCAATAAATAAATAATTTAATTGAAAAATTAAAAAAAATTATCTAATTCTCGATATGGCATGATACCCCACCCCCAACAAACCCCAACACTCTCCAAGAATTTCATTGTTTGAATTCCTAACTTTTTCTCTTACGTATCCGAACAGGACCTTGGCACGCTGCAAGAAGGGATCTAAAAGGTCCAGCTTGACTGCACAAAAGCTAATTGCAAATACAAGGTAGGGCTGTAACCCCTTCAATGTAGATGTTCATTTGGACATGAGCGAGCCACCAAGAGGTAAAGGAAGTCCGCTAATTTGGAGGGGAGCAAACTTTCATAAAGAGAGGGGAAAAAAAAAGAACTCTTCACTCGTCTCTCCAGCCACTTAGAGGTAAATCTTACCAAGTAAACAAAGAAGCACAAGACCCATTTGAATGGGAATATACATTGGGAAGTGATTAGGTACTGGCAGCCAAATTATTACACATCTCATCAACTTTTAATCACTGAAGCTGCTACTACCTCCAGAGGCTTGTATATGAGAAAAAGGGCAAAAATGAGAAACTTAGCAGGGATTAGCATAGAAACTAAGTTAACAGACTTGTTTGTTAAACGCTGAAATCTTTGTGACGCAAAGAAATGTTTTGAATCTTGAAAGATTGGATTCAGGGTCCAATGTCAGAGCTGAAACAAAGAAAAAAACAGGGAGGTTAGGACCACTGGAAAGTAAAAGCCAAAGTGAAGAAAACTTGAGCTAAATAATATGTGATTCAATTCGAACCAGCCAAAAATTCTAGGAGCTTGAAAGATCTGATTCTCAACCAACCAATAATGGAGCTGACTTCCTAGCAACAAATAGAATGATAAACAAAATAAGAAGATCAATGGTTCTAATCTTGCAGTCTAGACGTGTAACCATTTGGTGTCATCATCAATCTTGTATACACTGTAACCATTCTTCCAATTCTTATACATATGATTCTTTGGAATCCAGTCAAGGTAACTGAAGAATGGAGTAAGGGACTCAGCTGGAAATGAAAAGAATTCAGAGCAACATAACACAGCAATATAATTTTCCGCCTCAGCTATACTGCCCTCAAACAAAAGATCTCAAAAATGCCCCGCAACTAGTATTCAACTCTTAAACTTTGGATATACTGTTAATCCTCAGATATCTTAAGTTACAGTTGCTTATGAGAACAGGATTAGTATCTCAGGCTACAGTAATTATTAGAGATGTGCGTGTGCGAGACAGTGTTTTATGACAGTTTATGAACATTTTATAGCCAGTTTGGGCAAGCGACAATCACCTTATTGGAGGCTTAAACAAGGGAATGCGACTTGTGCAACCCTGAACATTATCTTTCCCCCCTTTCCTTTACCTTCTGTTTCTCATCAACATTAATCACAAAAACCTACCCGACGTACATTTCCGACTTGCCAAGATCCACCTCTTTCGAAATCTGGAAACGAAAACAACTGAATTATATGCTTTGTTGTGCTCTCAACAGTACTTCCAGGCTTTAACAGGATTTGGAGTTGCTTCTGCTGCTGCACTTCGCACAGCTTCAGAGGATACACGTGCAAACCTTTTCTTTTTCAGGCAAGAAGTCCAATCTGTACTTGAACAAATGCTGAATCCAAATTCACACTTCATTTTTGAGTCAATAAATAGATCCTGCAACAAGTATTGGTGCCCACTGATTTCACACCTGACAGAAACTGTTAATTTTGGGTTAATTAATGGTTCATAGTGTCTCCTGCTTCCTCTTCAGTTCAGAGGCTTTAACTGGTTGCGACAATTAGCCTCTGCAGTTGCTTAAGTGGTGACATAAGCTGAGAAAAGGATGGACGCTGACTGGGCTCACTGCACAATTAACCAACTCCATCAGAATGTCAGCAGAATGTTTGAAGCTTCTCATCAGTTATTCCAATAAGTAGATAATACAGAAATAATATAGCCTTGTTAGAAACCTGCCTCAATGAATGATTTGAATGACACGATACAGAAGTTTTTGGATAAATCCAATCCTATGAATTTTAAACCCCCCCCCCCCCCCCCCCCACCCCAACCAAAAAAAAAGATAACAACAACAAAAACAACAAGGAAACGTGCAAAAAGTGCATGTAGCAAAAATGAGAATGTTGCAATGGTCTTGTGGGTATATGCTAAAAAATAGCACAAGAAATGAGTGCATTTGAAGAAGATTCCGACTGAGGATAAAAACAAAAGAGAATTGATTAAGATGGGTTCGTCAGGTATAATGGATTCCTCTTAATTCACCAGGAAGTGGTAAGATTATGGTTAATGGGGCAAAAACGTCTGGTGTATAGACCTAAAAAAACTTAGTCGAAAGTAATTAAGAACATTTGATAATAGTTAATTTAACTGAGGAGATAACCCAAAATAGAACCAAACGAAAGAATATGATTCACATAGCTGGCTCCAAACATTTGGTATAAAAGGGTCAGTTGTTGTGGAATTTTCTCCACGGATTTGGCAAACCCAAAGGAACTGGTTGTCTGATTGTCAATGTTCGATTAAAAACCTAAGGACTCAATCCTAAAGATAGTCTCAGTTCTCAAATTAGAGAAGGAAGTCGAGACCTTTTTTTCTGATTCTCAAACCACTATCTTGGCTACAAGACTATATTTCTGAGAGAATTAATGAGTTCAGATGAAGTATGACATTCAAACAAACTTTCTGGATCACAATCTCAAGCGCTCCCACAAAAAGGAAATAAGTGCAATCCAAAGGATGATCAACCGAAAGAGCATCCAGGGGATTTTTCATCCAAAATCTGAACAGAACCTAAAAGAATATTACATACTGCTAGGAAAAACTTCTAAAGCGGTTGTTGTCGTCTCCTTATATTTGCTGGCAAAAAGTCAAACATGCGTCATGACCAACTATTATTCAAAGCTTTAAACTAAACGTGGTTGTTTCAGATAAAATCAAATCATTTAATTTAATCTTCGTGAATAAGAAAAAAAATCATATTTTTTTATCAATTAGTATCTTTGTAACATTGCTGCAACTAGATACTTATTGATAGACAACTCATTTTCGAATGTGTTGAATCTTGCCAATAACCTAACTATGGTATGCATATCTTTGTTTGTTGCTGGAGCACTAGTAGAAAAATGCATCCATGATATGATGTATGTGTTGAGGGTGGGAGAAGGGTACAAGAGTTATCTCACTTTTGGGGAAAAGAATGTTCTACATGGACATAGGAGACAATCCAACACAGCAATTTTAAAACAATAAGGTATGCGAAATATATGTCTACCAGACATAAATACAACATAATTAAATACAAGGGGTGTATGTGGAGCTGTACTTTGAGAATACTATATGCCTATCTATCATGATAAAACATAGTTAAATAAAAAGGATGGCATGAATTTGGATGGCTCTGTGGAGGTTAAAATTACGGGGTTTTTATGCTTCTTGTTATATTTTTGCCTTACATATCCATTCAAGGTATTATCTATAGTCCCTTCAATACTTCTAATGCAATAATATATGGTTCCCTTTATTTTCTTTATCATGAGACAGGGCCAAATTGTGCACAAGTATCCACGCGTTTCTGCATGTCTGACACAAACTTTTTAAGAACGTAGCATCCTAGTAATGTTATATGGTTCCCTTCAATAAGGAGAGGTGTTGCATCTGTTTTGAAGAGAAAAATTAGTTTTGGAAAAGCATGCTGCGAGATTAATTTAGTCTAAATTGTAATGGTTGATGAAGTTTTTACATTTGTTAGGAAGATCTCAAAAGGATGGATAAGCCTAATGATTTGGTTATTCTCTTACAGCTCGATTATTAGTAAAACCAGTGAAAAAGAGTTGCCTTGAAAAACAGGGATAAGCAGATGTTCACAGTATAAAGAAATTTGCTCGTGTTGTGTGATTATCAATTGAATAATCCAACGACGAATGAGGAATCTACCGCCATACACTGGATCCAATACACGGAATCGCGAGATCTAGGAGTTCAAGACATCGGAAGAACACGAAAGCACAAAACCATAATGCAAGAAGACAAAACAATATTTATAAGGTTCAGTACATCAGCCCAAAACTCTAGCCTATGTCCTTGGATGGTAGAGAGATAATCACTATGAAAAATAGACAAGTACAATAAGGTTCAGTACCTCGGCCCAAAACTCTAGCCTACGTCCTTGGATGGTAGAGAGATAATCACTATAAAAAATAGACAAGTACAATAACTCTCTCTCTCTCTCGTCCTTGGACACTATGAAAAATAGACAAGTACAATAACACACACTCTCTCTACCCCTCTCTCTCTCCCTTCATGTTTTCATCAGCAACAAGCCCTTTACATAGGATTGTCCTTGATGTATTTAATAAATGCATAACTAAATGCAATTTCTCAATGCATCTTAATTCTACAAGTCACATGAATTAACACATTTATATCAACAAACTCCACAATGGCTTAATTCCAATTCTTGCCATGGAGTATACTTTCTGGTGCATCTCTCCTCGATGCATCATATAGATAGGATACCCCGCGCTCCACCATGGAATGCCCCATCACCATCGATGGTGGATGACATTGATGGCATTCGAGCATAACCAATGTTACATTAAACGCTGGGCGTTTCTAGGCATCGGACTTGGCGTCCAGCGCTTAGTCGCCTAGGCGGTCACCTAAACGGTTTCTGGACCTTTTTTTCTTTTTTATTTTTTTAATTGTGATATTTGAAGATAAATATATATATACTCAATCAAAGATGCATAAATACTAAAATACCAACACTATTAACTAAATTGCTTGGTTTATCAATTACAATAGCTTTTTGTATGTTTATACTTCTTAACTCAAATTATAAGTTCATCTCAACAGTGAAAAACTCATTCTCAACTCAAATTACTGTTAACTTATAAGTTATTGTTAAGTTTAAGTTAACAATAAACTTAAACTTAAGTTTACTGTTAACTAAAATATTGTTAACTTAAGTTTACTGTTTACTTAAGTTTACCATCAACAAAAAACTTAATATTAACTTAAACTTAAGTTTACTGTTAGCTTAAACTTAAACTTAAACTTAAGTTTACTGTTAACTTACACTTCTTAAGTTTAAGTTACTGTTGTTAACTAACTTAAATAGATATTTAAAAAGTACTCTTTATCTTGTTAGTAGTTACAGAGATCGGGGGAGCTCGACAATGTTACAAAAGACGTTAGGCAGACTAGGCGTTTGAGCGAGCGCCTAGCGCCTAGACCCCTAGACGTGCGTCCAGGCGTTTGATTATTTTTAAATTATTTAATTATAATAATTGATAAAAATATGTATTAAATTCATATAAATTTTTAAAAAAAGATAGCAATCTTAGTTTCATAATAAATCATGCATACTTAGATACTAAATAACCAAAATAATAATTAACAATGTTAGACCCTAAGATGTTTTCTTTTTTATTCTTAATTATAATAATTGATAGTGAATGTCAATGTTATAGAAAGCTTAGATGCCGGACTGATGTCTAGACGGATTTTTTTTTTCATTCAAGTAGTGATCAATGAGGTTTTGCTGAAGGTCGGAGGAGATAGTGGAGGTATTCATATTTTAAGGTTAATAGAGTTTGGAGGACGTGTAGGCTACAACACATAAAATCACAACCAATGCCTACAGGTTCAATCCACGTAAGTAGACAATGCTCCCCTAAACGCTCATAAAATCTAGATGGGCAGCCTAAATACCGTCTAGACGCTAGGCGCTAGTTAGGCGGCCTAGGTACCGCCTAGACCTAGGCGAACGTCTAAGCGGACTAGACGGAGGTTTTTTAAAACAGTGAGCATAACTCGAACTTATCCGTTGGAACAACTTTCTCCATGAAGTCTAATGGATTTCTCTTTGCATTAATCTTCATCCAATGTTCTAAATATAGGCCGATTTTATCAATTTATCCTCAATATATAGTGTTTAAGCTATGACCGGTACGATTTCTGTAAAAATATATCGCATATAGTTTTGAGCCCATTTTTCCCGATATACTAGTGTAAATCCAATAAAGCGGTCGATTTTTTGTGGGCTAATCACCTGATTTTCTACAGTTTACATTCTAAGTGAACTGGTTCGCGTTTGGAGACAAAAAACCCTTTTTTCATATTCGACCCACATACACTAAACAAAAACAATATTATCCTATTCTATTTCACTTTCACTAAATAAAAACAATTAGTAAGTGATCCTAAACATGTGTTATTTACATATTAGTATGTTTATGTTTCATTAATGTGCTAAGATTACTTTTTAAGACATTATATTATATATGCTCACTATTCGATGTAACACTCCGATTTTTACTACATGTCCTTGATATGTCCCGATAACTAGGATCGATGTGAATTTTGGTCATCCGATATATTTTCGATAACCGATATTTAAAACATTGTCTTCATCTTCCCCTCTTTAATCCAATCTCTGACTTTATGGTACCTTGTATAATGTGCTTGATTCTAGAATAGAACATCTGATTTCTTGCCAAATGAATAGTACTTTCAAGTGAATAGACATCATATCTTGCTCCTGTTCAAGTGATCTCACCATTAACCATAGTGCTTATTTTGCCGCTTCAACTATATACTCTGCCTCTGTTGTCGAAAATGTCATTGTGCTTTGAAGTGTGAACTTTCAACTAACTGGGTTTCCTCCATACATGAACACAAATCCGATAGTGGATCTCCTCTTGTCCAAATTACTCGCATAGTCAGAATCTACAAACCTCTCCAATTGTTAGTGCATACAATCCATAGAGGACATAATACACCTCTTAATGGTTCCTCTTCGGTACTTTATCACCTATTTCACCACTTTCCAATGCTTTCCTAGA